ATAGAGGGAAACAACTCAAGAAAACAATTCCTCCTCATTTCTTTCTTTTATTGTCCACAAAACACGAAAGAGCAGAGGAACTCTGCAAAACTTCCCACTTCCCTTTCCTCAAACATACAATCGAACAAAAGAAATATAAAAAGAGCAAAACTCTCAGCAAAATACCATGCTTCTTCCCTTTTTGTTAATCATGAGACACCCATGATAACACAAACGACAACTAAAAAGCAAAGGGCAGTAAGATTCCCACAGAATCTAGGAAGGAGGCAGAGACATCCACAAACACAAAGCACAGCCAAAGAATCTTTTGATTCACATACCATGTCTTGGTTTTTCCCTATGGTTGAGGGCGAAAGAAAAGTGTACGATCCACTACAATTAAGGTCAATGGTAACTCGAAAAGCATTTCACGATGGGTCCCTCGATTTCGAGGGTTGGTTGCAACACAAATAATAGAAACACAGTTTCTATCCAGTCGAGTATTTAGGGAACTTGGTAGAAAGAGTAGGGAATTTGGGAAATGGGAAAAGGAGCAAGGAAGAAGGAAGAAGAGTGGAAGCCGCTCGGTGGCAGAAGAAGAAGAACGAGGAATAGAGGGAGAATGTGAGAGAGGGAAGAGAGAGAAGATTAAGTTTAGGTATTTTATTCTTTTGATTCTGCTTAGTGGGAATAATGCCCACTTACAGTTTATATATGAGTATATGACTGGACAATCTCATATAACTACTTAAACTTCTACCTTATAAACAATACCCTCAATAAATCCCAAATAGCGTCATAAACAATAAATAACCAACAACTGAGTCCAATTGATAAAATAGCAATTTTTTTGTTTCTATCATATCTCCTTCTGGAAAATCAAAATGTTAAATGTCAGCCTTAGAGTTTGCTTAAAATCCCGCCATGTCTTTGCTTTTCACCCCACTGACTTTGCTTAATCGTTCGTTCAGTGCTTCACTCACTAGCATAACTAATAGTAGATTTGATACCCTCACGTGCTTCAAGATGCCAAGAATTGCAACCCTTGAATTGTTTCCCTACTTCTCATAGTGGGGGGACATCATCGTCGCCAATGGCCAGTTTCGGTCCTCACTTTCGGAATGTCGGCATACTAATCTCACCCAAGATATCGGCTATGTGGACTACTGGCATTTTGCTTGGACTTGGTGCGAGTCACGAGCAAGGTTGTCAAACGTTTTATATCATTATGTCGGTTTGACAAGTGGTATGCTTAAAATCAAAATGTCAAATGTCAGCCTTAGGGTTTGCTTAAAATCCTGCCATTTATTTGTTTTCCCCCACCCACTTTGCTCCATCGTTAGTTCAATAATTCAATCTCCATCATAGCCAATAGTAGATGTGGTACTCTCACACAATTTACGATACTCAGAACTATACCTGTGAATCGTTTCCCTGCTTCTCATGGTTGCGGAGACGGCATCATCCTACTCGCGGTTGCAGATGGCTAGTTATGGTCCTCACATTGGTGATGTCAGCATACTGATCCCGCCCAAGGTATCGACTATGCGGATTACTGGCATTTGCTTGGACTTGATGTGAGTCACAAGCAAGGTTGTCAAGCCATTTTATAGTATTATGTAGGTTTGGCAAGCAGTATGGTTCGACCGGCGGTACAATTGGTTTATGCAAGTTCATGCCGATTTTAGCAAAACATGTAGGAAAGTGACAAATCATTAACACTAAATGAAGTTAGGCGTATATATAACATACTTGAAAGCTATCTTTCTAAAATCTACATCCATATTTAAATAGAATACAACATTCCAAACAAAATGAAGAAACTTCATATTTAAATAAAGGGTAATGTCAATATCTAAAAGTTTATACTTACCATATGAAAACCATGGTCACGAGGCTCGAGAACTAGGGGGTGTGCAACAATGCATTTGGTTCTCTTTAGTCCGGTCCAAATGTCAATTCGAATTTTTTTCTCTTTTGTATTTATAAAATTCATGGGAACAAGTACCATAACATGTTGTATTTGGTTCAATGTGGTCCGTTTCAAGCGTCTAATTGGTTCGGCACAGACAGATACGACCAACCCATTGCACACCCTATCGTGAACAATGGGCGAGAAGGGTAACACCGGTTTTTCATATCCATGATTTAACCTATTAAGACTACCTCTAATGGTTCAAAGGCAAAAGTCCTAAGAAAACTACCTCAAACAATGGCTAAAAAGGCTAAAAGTTTCAAAAAGTGGAGGATTTGGGGCAAATTTGGCCTAGATAAGATAAAAAAATCATTAAAAAATTTGGCCTCCCCACTTTACAAATTAGATAATAATAATTAATTAAATAATTTGTTCATAATTTTATATAGATAATAATTAATTAAGAAAAATTATATTTTTAGACTGGGACATTAGAAATTTTCTCTTCAAACATGACGTCATTAATGATCAAGATTTTTTTTATAACCAATGATTAAGAGTTTGAGAACAAGAAGATTCATCTTCTTCCCGTCAATTAAAAAGCTTCTCTTTTTATTTTCAAACTCTTGATTACTGATGAAATCATATTTGAAAATAACAATTTTCAATGTTCAAATTAAAAAAATACATTGAAATGTTCATCTTAATTAATTATATCTACCTATATAAAAATAATTAACAAATTATTTAATTCAAGCGACGAAGCATATACTAATGTAATTTAAGACAATTTCAAATTTGCAGATTTTGAAATTTTAGGTAAAAACCTTTTTGGCGGAGGTAGAATGTTAAATCTAACCTCAAATACATTTTTATATTTACCATTGGAGTATGGAGATGGACTAAGACTAGCTCCAACCCATGGTGTCAAAATGCTATAAAGCCATATTTTGCTTTTTTTCTTCCTCCAACCCACAAACAAATGGGAAGCAAAATATCGGTATTGGGTTTTTGGGAGTTAAATTTGGCTGGGTTTTGGGGTGGGGAGTTAAATTTGGCTGCCAAAAAGTGCACAGCACGTCGGCTGGCGGGGGAGGGCGCAGGACGCGCGCCTCGGCCGCACGCATCCTGCGCCCTCCCCCGCCAGCCGACGTGCTGTGCATTATTTTTTTTTCTTTTAACTTTTGTTTTTGTTGGTTGGGAATTTGTTTTGTCAATTTGTTTTGGATTTTTTTTCTCTATTCTCATTGGTTGTTTGTGATTCAATTTGAAATATAAATTTGAAATAATTGATGTAGTGACGAAAAAACGGTCATATTTTAACGGCCATAAAAAACGGTCATATTTTAACGGCCATATTTTTTCTTATATATTACAGCACTCTTCATAGATTTCTCTTCACTCATTCTAGAGCATAAATCGCATTCTCTCAAAATTCAATTGTTATCGTCTCTCAAAATAGAAATATGATAGGCAAGAGAGGACCTAATTGGCGTCCGAATGAAGATGAAATCTTGTGCAGAGCTTGGGTGTCGATATCAGAAGATGGAGCGGTTGGCACCAACCAGAAGTCTACAAGGTTGTGGGAAAGAGTGACGGCAGAACATCAAAAATGGGATCCTACTACAATTCGTACTGCTATTGCAATGGAATCCCGAATGAGGATTATTTGCTATCACTGCAATGCTTGGAAGGGAGTTTTGCAAAGAGCACAAAGGCATCAATCGAGTGGCACGAACCAGTTTGATGTGGTATTCTTTTGGACCCTCAACTTGTGTATTTTCTTATTTTTTATGTGTCAATAAAAACTTCTCTAACCCATGTATTACATATTTTATTAGGAAAAGGAGGCAAGAGCAATATATAAGCAAGAGAATGGGAACAAGGCTTTTGGTTTTGAGCATTGTTTCGACATTCTTCGAAATTGTCCAAAGTGGTACTCCAATCCTGACCTGCTTGTTAGTCCCATTCCACCTATGGGGCAAGGTTCCCAAAGTTCTCCAGCAGGAGTAGGTGCGCGAAGGTATGTGGACCCGTACATGTTGATAATGTTGTTGCAAAACTTTCTGAAGACCTCCATCAAGGTGCTCTCACCCATACGAACATACTCATCAAGTTGATCAGCTAGAGAACCATATGCTAGCATGCGCATCGCACCAGTAAGCTTATGCTCTGGAGATAGTGACAATTGACCAAAGCTATCACGCCTTAGAGCAAATGAGGGGTCAAACCTCACAATGTCGCCCATAATGCGATGGAATAATCTTGGCTGCATCCGATAGCGCCTTCTGAATATGCGAGCATTGTATACTGGATTTGGATCGAAGTAATCCCTCATAAGACGTCGATTACATTCGACCCTCTCACGATCAATGTGACGTCGGCTTGTAGTTTGACGGCGACTTGATGCACCTTCAGCCAGCCTCCGACCGATCAAACTCAAACGTAGGTGGTGAAACCTTTCGTACTCTTCGTTTTCTTCTTCTCCAGACGATGAGCTATCTGAGATACTCATGATGAATGTGTTTGTTTTATAAATGAGAAGAAGTTTTAGTTGAGTTGATGAAAATGAAGAACTATCATTTATAAAGACATTTGGTACAAAAAATGACAAAAAAACGGTCGTAAAGTAACGGATACAAAAAAACAGTCATATTTGGAGTGGTCCCGAAGTTTTAACGGTAATATTTTAACGACTAATTTAAAAAAAAATATCTCGGAATTTAAAAAAAAATTACATCAAAAAATTTGTATTCAAAACTAATAACGAGCTATGAAAAAATTAAAGTGAAATATAAAAATTAGAGGTCAAATAAGTATGGTTTATTGAAATAAATTGAAAAAGGGAAATGGAAAGCTAAATTTAGCTTTTTATAGGATTGGAGTGAAAAGTGGGTTTGGGGAGCTAAAAAGCCATATTTGGTCATTTGGGGAGCTAAATTCCCCTTTATGGGTTGGAGTTGGCGTAAGGCGCTAGCCAGAGACCCGACTCCGTGTCGGAGCCCAGAGGCCCACGCCATCCAGTTTTTTTTTTTTTTTTATATTAACTTGGTCTGGGCTTATAGCCCAATTCTCCTTCTGGAAACGCCAAAATTAATTTGCGAATCGGATCCAGCTAAGAAAGAGGAAGGCGAAAATAAGCAGACAGAGCGCGGCCGGACCGACACCGACCAGAGAGACGATAAACAATCTGAGAAGAAATACAGTTGCAATTGTGGTTGTGGCCGACTTTCGCCGGAGCGTAATTTTCCTTTTGCCGGAGATTCGGACTTCTTTCTTCGTGATTTCTACGTTCTTGCGGGCGAAAATGGCTTCGAAACCGTCTCCTAAGCCTGAGATTGGGCCCGACGGTCTCGCCAGAGAATCTCCGATCATCGCCTACACTGAGAAGGTTATGTCCCTCTCTCTCGTTATGGTTTTCATTTCCAATTACGATCAGTTGGCCTAATGAAGTTCTCATCATCTGGCATTTGCATTTTCCTTTCAGGTAATTGCAGAAGAGCAGCTTCAATTACACAAGTAAGTTATTCACTACTCTCTTTTCCCTCACAATTCTGTTTCGTTTGGATCTGGTACTGTACGCATAACGCATTCTTCTGCCTAGAATTTGGATTCCTAGTAGTCTAGTACCACTGCTGTTCCTAAATGCTTCTCTACTTAGCGCTTATTGTTGATTGGTACTCGATAATTCTGGGACTTAGATGCCATTTCTCTGAACCAGAATTGCTGTAATTGTTTGCTGAAGGTTAAGATATTTGAGAAATTTAGGGGAGTCATCACCAATTCACCATCGTTGTTTATTTGTCTCCATTAAATGCCCAGCATGCATGAATCTACAGGTTTCAGTATCTTTAGTTGTCTGTAATGCAGATACATTGCAGAAAACAAGTCGATGCTACTTGGTGTAGAGCGAGAGCTTGCAAATCTATCCATGGAGATGAAACTAACTGCTGGACCTTAAAAAAGCTGGTTGGTCACTGCTGTTTACATATCCTGCTTCTTTCGTGTCTCGTTTCTTATTTTCTTATTGACTCCACTACCACCATGTTGAAACGCCACATGATGACTTAAGCACTCGAGCATCTGAAAATGAAAATTGAAGTTTCAACTGTAAAGATTCGTCAAGCCAAGGTGAAGGAGGAACAAGCACGGAAGGTTAGGCCCCTAAGCCTTTAAACTCCCAACCTTAGCCACTTCTCTGTTAAAAGCATTTAACCAGTTTTAATTACCATAAGCTGATTTGGAAATACAGTCTTTCATAATGCGTCGAGAATGTTTATGTTTTAGGCATCGGAAGCAACACTGCAGGCGCGTTGAAAGATGAGGAAGCAATGAAGCAGAAGTTATGTGAAGACTTGAATCAACTGGTATGAATCTTGATTTGGGATATTACTTAAAACTTAGAATCTTGTTGTTTCCTTCGCCATCTGCTTTCTCCTTTCTTATGGATTTGATTTTTTCTTCCAGGTCCAAGAGAGCAGTGCCTCACAGTTTACTAGACTTGAAGAATTAAAAAGTTGTCTGGAAGCTTTAAATCCAAACAGAGTTTCTACTGCTTCTCCTCATGTAAGATCTCCATTTGAGACCTATCATTTCATCTTGTGTTTGAGTGAGCATATAATCGCTAGTGCAAGGGCATTTTATTATGTAGGACACCTACTGCATTGTTAATGGTGTGCTGGTCCACTAACTATAGCTATAAACTTCAACATGGATTCCTTTAGGCTCTATTCAAAATATATTCCCTGCACCCCTCTAGTTAAGGTGAAGAAGTCCACAAATAAGGCATCTTATAAGGCGTATAAATAGGATCCGTTATGGTTTTAGATTTGCAATTTATTTGTGCAGACCGGACAACCAGTGGGACCTATGCAGAACAACCCGGTAACAGGTGCTTCCTCAGTTCCTCCAACACCACCACCACCAGATAGTAGTGAAGACACTGGAAATGCAGCTAACCAAGAACGTAACAGCCAAGTCCCAAACGGCCCAAATCAACAGCAACCTGCTTCGGGAGGAGTTAAGAAGAAGGCTCAAGTCCATGGAAAAGGAAGGGGTGTCCTTGGTGCTGTGCCCAAAAGACAACCTGGCTGGACTGGGGCTGGCTTTGATGTAGATGGCAGGAATTAGAAGAGTCCCGCACACCTTAAATCTCTCCTCATAGTCATATGCCCATTCCTTTTCTTCCTAAATTGACCAAATTGCTGCTTTGCAGCTTAACAAAGCTGTGACCGGGAAAGGATCTCATCAAGGTCGTCACCGATTGACATGATAGTGTGCAGGTTAGCCGATCGGTTCACCAAAGTGTTAAAGGGTTGGGTGCTCTTTGTAAATTGTAAGATCCCGGAACTCATTCAGTTCCCCATTTCACTCATTCAGACTCGGGATTCTTTTACAAGTATATTCTTGGCATGTAGTTTCCTATATCATTAGTCAGAAAACCCATGATGTTCAACATGAAATGTGTACTAGTTTGGCCAAACTATGGCATATTGTTTCTTGGCAATACTCATCACAGTACTTACTATTTGTTTGAATTACATACTCCACGCAGATTCCTCCCTCCCTCTGTTTTACCAACTGACCCCGACAGGATTCACCAGGTGCCAATTCAGATGGGACCATTGAGAAGACGAGAGATTGGCGAGATCTGGGAATTCCCCGGCCTTTCCGAGCTCCTACAATCATTTTCATTTGAATGAATGAATGAAAGAAGAATAAAAAAAAAACGGTACTTTACTCATACTCTTCCTTTCCCTGCCTTTTATCATACTTTGATTGACAACACACCACTCCACAGGCACAGTTTCTGAAATGCTTTTGCCTTCTTCTTCCGGAAAAAGAAAAAAGCTTTACCTTAGCCCTTAGCTATTATCTGGCTGGGTCCTTTATCTTTTTAGATTCAAGCCAGTCACAGTCTGGTATGGTCAGTGGTCACGTATATCTTATGAGAGTCAGTTCACAGACCGACTGCTGACTCCATTATTGAGCTGTGCTCACATGGTGGCTAGGCCAGGCCAGGGAGGGAATATATCGCTCACTGGCCCCAACTGTGGAGACTGTGCGAGGTGTAATGCTTGAAATGGAGGTGGAATGGAATAACCGAATGGTGGTAGTGGTAAGTTGGTAACTGGTAATACCTGAAATAAAAGATGACAAAATCGTCTCACAGGGGTTTTTTTCAGGCTCCACTGACTGCAGAATGTGACGTGGAAACTGTATGCAGCACACAGAGTAGAGTCAGTAGATGGATAGGTGAATTCACCAAACGAGACCGTGCAGCCGGGCGTCCATATCTGCGGTGGTGTTTTGGATCGACTCACCAGGCCACCCGCCACTTTGTTGGTTCCTACGGATGGGTTGGATCACGGTGGAAGAGCTCGTCTTGAAATTACGTGTGCACTGTTTTCAAATTTCTTGAAAGGCGGTTTGTTTGAATGTTCGTTCATGTTCATTGTATTGTAGCAGATGACGATTAGAGGTGATTATTGAGTGGTTGAACCTATATATTGACCTGTAATTGAAGACATTATTTTGTGGATGGTTTCTATGTGTTGGTGGAGATTGTAAAATAGATGGCCCACTATAACTTGGGTGGGAGGGGTGGATTGTGTAATAATCCACCCAATTTTTTAATGTCAAACCATTGGAACTCTATACCTAAACTAAAACCCTAAATATCACCAAAAAAATCTCCCAATTTCGATAAGAAGATCTTCACAAATCTCTAGTTGCCATTTCTTCTCAAATTTGAACGAATATGCCATTTCTTCTCAAATTTGAATGAATATCTTCTCAAAGTTATGGTTGTTCAGGATAATTGCAAAAACGATTTTTTTTTTGTGGTTAAAAATCTGTATCACATATTCACTTCCTTCAACGATATACGGTTAGCTTTTATAATTTGAATGGCTTAATTGCAAGTTTGGTCATTTGAATTGCTACAAAATTTCACGTTTGCCACTCAAATTAACTTATTCCATTCATGTTCACTTAAATTAATTTCGTAGTTCAAGTTTAGTCATTGGCCGTTAGTCTCCGTTAACACCGTCAGTTAAATGCTGACATGGCTGACGAAAATGTCTAGTCACCCACTTTAACCCAAAATAATTAAAAATTCGACCCTCCACATCATAAAAAACTGCCACGTCACAAAAACAAACTTGTAACCTGTTGGGCATATGGCTCGGGTCCAGGCGCGCCAAGAAAGCAGCGCGACGCCGCGCTTGCAAAGGCGTACCCAAAGCCGCGCAGACGCGAGAAGCTTAAGCGCCCGGGGGCCTCATGCGCGGACATGGACTCCAAACGACCGAACGACGGCGTTTCAGCCGAAAGGTGACTATCCCTAGTCTGCCTTGGAAACAACACCCTATCCCCCGAAGAGTGGTCACATCAGTGTACTAGGTACAATGATGGACAAGCCCCCTAGTACTAGGTAGGAGGGTGGCTGAAAGTTCTGACAGTGATGGCAGTCTTGTAACCGTGTAACTCACCCACCACAATGTAGCCTATAAATATGGCATTTACTCCGGTGGGTTAGGGGATCGCATTTTTTACTCTCTGACTAGTTTTACGAACTACTGCTTTCTCTCTCTAAGAATACCTCCCTTCTAGATCTCTTGTTGTTTCTCTTCTCACCCTCTTTTCCGAGTTCACCTCCTACCCTCAGTTGGACTCAAACATAACCAAACCCAAAACTGACTCGACCCAAATCCCTTCTCTTCTTCGATCCTCCATCACCACCTCCTCTTCTCCGATCCTCCGCCGATCTCCCTCACTCCTATCCTCTTGTTCCTCATCCTCCTCCCTGCAAAAATCCACAACCCAAAACATCACCGAGATCCCCTGTCCCGCTGGCTCCACCGAGTTTCGGCAATGGCGACTTCCCTGCCTCCGCCGGCTCCACTAGATTTCAGCCTCTCCTCCATCTCCAATCCTAATGTTATCCATCTCCACCACCACCACCTCTCTTCTAAATTTGGGAAACCGCCGCCGCTGTAGCAACCATGGAGAAGAAGATTTCCGCTGCTTCTTAGCGATTCCTGCTCTCCCTTCCCTTCTCTCTTCCCCTATTCCTCTAGACAAAGGCGAGAAAGTAGGCAAGAAGTACCTATCGAACCATAAGAAGAGGGGAGTTGGGAGAAATCTCTCACCCCCGCCAATCATACGAGCTATGGATGCTACCGCTACCTACATCGCTGCCGCAGTCACCGTCCAGGCTCGGGCTGGATGCGTTCAAATCGGCGACAACAAGGAGTAACTGGTGGATTCCTTCCTTATCGAGGCTCTCCAGAACCCACTCCACCATCTCACCAGTCAGTTTCTGGTTTCCTTCTTGTTCTTTGTCAATTCACAAATTTCTTACTCTCTTGTCTGATGTTTTTGTTGGTAGATTGGTTGAGGATTAGGCTTTTGAGTCACAGAGATTGACTATTGAATTCTGGTGTAGATAGTTAGATCTGGTTATTGTGACATTATTGAAGTTTGGCAGATTTGTGGTAGACTGCAATGCTTAATGAGGAAGGAGGAAAGGTTCTTGCGTGGGCGAGCTTGGGATGAAATTTCTGGGTTGTCCCTTTGCAAACCCAGATTTTTCAGCTCTATTGGAAACTCCAGTTTCTCGTAGGAAGAAATGAAGGACACGTTGCTGAATAAGGGTCTCGATGTTCAGATGCTTCTCACGAGCCCTGAACTCAAACCAGACAGTGCCGATTGGGATCTTCAGAGGTTGTTGGAGATTGGGGGTAGTTCGATCTCAGAGAAGTGGCGCCGACGAGGAGGAGGGTTTGGAGCGGGAAGCTGAGTCTCGGCAGAGGAAGGTGTCAAGAACATGGGTCTAGTCAGGGGTTTAGTGTGGGTTGACCTGGGTTTGCTTATCAGATGTGGCAGAATTTTTTTGTTTTTTGTTTTTTTTGCTTAAAATTGGCCAACTCAACGTCTGTGTTACCCATGTCAACAGTTAACTGACGGCACTAACGGAGTCTGGCGGAGGTTATCGGAGAGTGACCGAACTTGGACTGTTCAACTAATTTAAGTGACTATAAATGGAATAAATTAATTTAAGTGGCAAACGTGAAAATTTGTAGCAATTCGAGTGACCAAACTTGCAATTAAGCCTAATTTGAATACTAATTTGGCTTATTCTATTGTTCATTTCAGGAATGTTCGATAGGTAATTGTGGCTTAAGATCTGAATACTTTGCTAGATTTATGTCATATTTGTTTCTTTTTATTTTGTTATGATTAGACCTAGACCATATTTATCAGTTGAATTTTTTATTATTTGTGAACAATGACCAATAGTAATATTGTAAGCTAAATGATGCATTTGATTTATGGATTAAAGGTTATTTAGTTTGAAGATTTTCTTTCACCTTACGTTTATACGTGAACTTCTTTTCCCGGAGAAGAAGCAATGACGGTATCCGAGGAATTAGCATCGACTACCTATATGCCAGCAACTGCGGCAATAGGAATTATGTGACATTTTAGATTGTATGCTGTCAACCCATCAAATTCACCCAACCACCCATTATCTGCAATCACTCAACCAACCACCCGCAGGTATATGGATGGGCGAGTGTGGGTAATAAATCCAAATCCACCCAAAGCGTCATTGACCATGATTATCATATCACAGCATTCAGCCAAAATGAATTGAAATGGAGTTTGAAAAAAACATGTCATAAACCAACTGGTCTCAATAACTCCAGTTTTTGAGAGGTTCATGTATGGTACTTAACCACTTTCGTACACGCCCTCTCAAATGAAAGTCAACTCAATGGTTCGAAGTTTGCACAAGTCCACCATACCATGTGGTTTAAGTACAACAATTAATATTCGAAGTCGTGAAGACTTCAACACGTGACCTCAAGGACAAACAAGCTCTGATATCATGTCATAAACTGGATGATCCAAAAAATTAGAGTTGTTGGTAGAGGTCAATGTATGGTAATTAACCACTTCCTTACTTGTCCTAGTAACGTAGAAAGACACCAACAATGACTTTTCAACTTTTGACTCTGACTTATGTCTAGAACCTTAAAACGAAACTCACGGTCTGGACATAAGAGTCATGGTCTTGATCCTGACTTTGCCACCTCTATCTGTGACTAGGGTTGTCCATTTGGTTTTGGTTTTTTGGTTTTAACCGAAACCAAACTAATTGGAAAGCTAATGGTTTCAGTTTTTTGGTTTTAAACCAATAAGCAACTTTATGGTTTTGGTTTGGTTAAAACCGAAAAACCAATAGAAACCATTAAGAAACCAATAAGAATAAAATTATTTATCAACAAATATTTTTTTGTTTCTTTTGACACGCATGCCAACCAATAATTTGTTATGGCCATTTACCATTATTATGACGTTTATTCAATAAAAATGAGAGAAATAGGAATAAATATGAGTGTATGAGTACATGTTGGTTTTTTGGTTTTTGGAATTTGGTTTTTGGTTTTTGGTTTTTGGTTTTTCATACTTAATGGTTTGGTTAACCAAACCATACCAAATTGACATCCCTATCTGTGACTTCTAGACTTGCAATACAACAAAAAGATCTGGATGTTTTTCTTGTTGAATTCCTTGGGGTCGTTTAGATGGATCAATTGAAAATTGAGACAATTTAGCTAATTGTCTCATTTTACAAAACGAGTCAATTCGAATTGTCTTCCCACACCCCCCAACAATCATAATGGCCTCAAAACGAGTCAATTTGAAATTCCCTATGCAGAATTGCTTAATCTAAACTCTATGTCGCCAAACGAATCAATTTGATCAAATTGTCTCAAAACTAAATAATTAGATCAAATTAATCCATTAGAATTCCTCAACCAAACGCCCCCTTTATTTTGTTTCCCATTTTTTACATAGATGAAGTAATTACTACTCTTACAATTAATTTTATTAATATATAAAAGCCTAACATATGAGTTACTATTCATTAGTGGCTCTTACACTCTTTCAAGTGGGGAAATTCCAAGTCCTTCTTTTACCCCACTCTCCATTCTAGAACCTTTGTGTTTAGTTATTGTTCGGTAGGTTTTCAGCTATGGCTTTTTGCACAAATCATCGCCTTTGTATCTTGTTATAGTTCGCTTGGTTTTCGTCTATGACTTTTGCACAAATCATCGCCTTTGTTTTATCATCGCCTTTGTGTTTAGTTATTGTTTGCTAGGTTTTCGTCTATGATTTTTTGCACAAATCATCGCCTTTGCCCACCATTTTGCAGCCCATATCGAAATACTGTCGGCGGGATTCTAAGTTGTTCCCCACCACTGTTTTCCAAGGCCGTTACCACGAGTTTTTTATCGGGACTGAGTTTCATCCTCTTTAATATTTTCTTTCTTTTCTTCATTTTTGTTGAGTAAACCAAACACATGGGTATCCTACCTAGAACATAAATCATCGCCTTTGCCCATCATTTTGCAGCTCATCTCGAAATGCTGTCGGCGGAATCCTAAGTTGTTCCCCACCAGCGTTTCCCAAGACCGCTACCACGAGTTTTGTATTTGGACCGAGTTTCATCCTCTTTAGTATTTTTTCTTTCTTTTCTTCTTTTTTGTTGAGTAACCCAAACACATGGGTATCCTACCTTGAACATAAATCATCGCATTTACCCATCATTTTGCAGCCCATCTCGAAATATTGTCGGTGGAATCCTAAGGTGTTCCCCACCAATGTTTCCCAAGACCGCTACCACGAGTTTTGTATATGGACAGAGTTTTGCCTTCTTTAATGTTTTTTTCCTTTTTGTTGAGCATGATCACAATTTGAACCCAAACACAAGGGTATACTAACTTGAACACAAATCATCGCCTTTGCCCACCATCTTGCAGCCCATCTCAAAATATTGTCGGCGGAATCCTAATTATTTCCCCACTAGCGTTTCCCAAGGCCGTTACCACGAGTTTTGTTGACGTGTTTCGTATCGAGAGCGAGTTTTATCTGCTTTTGTAATTAACAGGTTGGGTAAATAGTGAATTTGTTAAAACTGGGCCGACTCGGTGAAAGCGAGTTGAACGCAGTGTTGAGAGTTTGGGGTCATGAGCGAGTTTTATCCGTTTTAGTATTTTTATATCTTTTTCCTTTTGGTTGAGAATGACAATTGAGTCCAAACGCATGGGTATACAACCTAATTCGACCCGGCCACGACTTGAACCTGATTTTACAATTTTTCGGCGGGAGCAAGTTTTTCTGTTTTTTAATTGGCGTGTTGTGTCAGGTGTGAATTTGTCCAAAACTGGATCCAATCAGGTCAAAGCGAGTTGAACTTAGTGTTGGCGAGTTTTGAGTCGGTAGCGAGTTTTAGCTTTAGTGTTTTCATTTCGCTTTTTCCTTTTATTTGAGAAAGACAATTGAACCCAAATCCATGGGTATCCAACCTAATTTGACCCGGTCAATGCGAGTCTAAACTCCTCAAACCTGCAATCAGTACAAAATTTTCATAAGGAGAACCACGATTACCTCAAACAAAACCAAAAGAGTACGACTATGTTTGACCCGAGTTTTAGAAGTTTTATGTTTCAAAATTTGAAGCCAAGCCAAACACCTCTAAAGTTTCGCTTTTTAAAAAATTGAAGTTTTTCGTAACTTAAAAGCAGAAGCTCCGATTTTAAAAATACAAATTATACTTACTATATATTATTCTTTTTCTAGAAAACATAATTTTCTTTCATTTATATCATTATAAAAAATAGAAAAATAATAATAGTTAATATGAAATAAATCTAACGTGATTCATTTTAAATACTTTTATATTTTTAGAATTTGTATTCATATTTTATGTTAGAAATATTTTTTTATCATTTTTCATTACCTCTTATATTAGAAAGTAATTCTGATAATTTTTCAGCTAAACACTCAACATGTTTTTTTAAATACTTCTTGAAAAGATCCAGAGAAACTGCTTCATTCTCCAAAAGTTACAGCATGATCAATTACTAGCCATACAAATTGAAGCGTCATGAGAGAACTTTAAACTTAAATAATCTATTCGACGACCCTTTTACCTTATGCAAGTTCATCGACCATATGCTATTTTAAATAACAAACCTATGAAAAGAATGATTAATAATGAAATATGACTACTTTCACTTTTGGTCAACATTAAAATTATTACTCTTTAAAATATATTTTTTTTAATACGCGAAGCGATAGCGAGCAGATTTTTGCTAGTAAAAATATAAAATAATCTCTTAATACTTTTTTTGCTGGATTCATTATACTTACCTCTTCTGATCTGATTCTGTAAGATTATGTGATGATCTATGGATCTTCTTCAACTTATCCGTGACTGTCTTTCTCAAATTACGAAAGTGGATCGGGGTTACCCCTGAAAAGCCACCAAACACCCTGTGACGGGGTGAAAGTTAGTTGTGTTTAATTTCGTATCTGATTTTGGGTAATGTTAGCAAATAAGTGGTTTTTCATATAATATCAGAGAACAAAGACTCTTTTCGGAGTGCTTGGAAGTTATGACCATAGTTTATGAATTCCAATACAACTGCTACTGAAGTAATGACCGGTTCATCAAATTTCTTTCAAACAGTACTGTACAGTGCCATTACCTGCGTCAAATATTTCAGTAGTGTAATTTCAAAAGGCATCGCCATTTGAAAAAGAAGGAAGAACAGTACCAAAACTGGTGAAGCCGTAAATGCTAGTCATGTCCA